ATTCAAAATATTATATCTTTCCTAATTAGGTCTAGCTTATATATAAAATTAGGTCTTATAAAGGGCGCTTAGGGCGTATAAGGCAGCCTTTTATTATTTAAGGCCGACGTACGATAGCCTCTTATATTTTAAGGCGCCTTAAGCGTAAAAAGCGACTATTCGGCGAAAACAGCGAAAATAGCGGGTAACACATGTACCCGGCGCTAGAACTTTTTACTGATGTTATTATCTTTAGAAATACTAGCTAGAAATTAACTAGTCCTCTAACTTTAGTAATCTTAAATAGTCCTAGCTTTTTATAGTTTAATTTATAACTTAGTTCCCTAGTTATAATATTCTTTTAGAGTAAGTAGACCTTATCTCTCTCTTTTAGCGTTAGTCTTATACTACGCTTTTTATTATAATAGATAGCTGATCTTTAAGCTATAATCAGAATATCTACTAATAGTTTCTTATATAATTACTTAAGCTTATCTCCTTATAGTATAGCTTCTTATATAGTCTCTTAACTTGTGATAAGCGATTTATATACTATTAGATTATACTTATAATTCACGTAGAATAATAATACTCTAATAGTTTCTTAATCCGTGTTATTATATAAAAACTAAGTAAGTATAAGTAGTTAAACTTAGTTATCTTATTTATAGTTTATATAATACTAAAGATAAGTTTCTATTATCTAATTAATTTGTTCTATTTATATATTTATTTAAGAGTAAAAAGCTATTAATATCTTTTATTTTATCCCTAGAAGTATTACTAGAGTTTTTTAAAACTTTAAAGTAAAGAGTTTATTTTTATTTAAGATAACTTTATCTAGTATTCTATAGTTTATAAAGATTATCTAAAGGAATACTTACGCTATTTACAGTGCGCTTTGGGTTCCTAGTACTAGTACTATATACGTGTACTTAGTGAACTTATCTATAACTATATATATTAAGTTATTCTTATAATTAAGTCTTTTAAGAGTAGTAGTTTAACTATAAAGTCTAAAGCGATTAACTTGTAATAGCACGGTTTAGCGTTAGCTAGCACGTGAGCGAGATAACCACGGATCAGGTGATAACCTCTCTATTAGCGCGAATATTAAGCTGAGGAGCCCTTAATTCCGTGGAGGGCGCTTAAGCTTATATAGATAAATTCACTGGGCTATTCCCGATTAGGCCTAATTATATTTGACGTAAAGCTTGACGTAAACTCCTATAGTAGCGTAGAGCTATTTCCTCTTGCGTATAACTAAGTGGGTAACTGTTAGTAAACCCCTTCCAAGTTAACCGAGCTCTACCGAGTCTTACCGAGCTCTAGACTTTTCCTAATCGGGTACAATAAAGAAGTGGTTACTACTACCTTTATATAGAATACCTTAATAAATCAAGACTTTCATACTATATAAAGCTCCTCCCTGCGGTACGCGATAGTTACTTTATTATATCTTTAGTTATTTTTATTATACTTATATTCTCTATTTTATTCCCTTTTTACTGTTACGAACGCACTCAGAAGGAGTATCACGTGTGTCTTGGCCCTGAGGCTCGGCAGCATTGCTGCACAGAGAAGCCAAGAACTAGGAACGAAATCACGGGACCATGTGTCACGTGATGGCATGGAGCTTTTGGAACCATAGGGTCCAAGGTTCCTGGAGCCTGGGATCATAGGACCCATAGGGATCCAAGGCTAACGAAGGTTCTATATAAGACTGGCACGTCTGCCATTAGATAGGAGCTTCGTGCTCAACTTCAAATAGTATTCTGATACTTAGTAACTGTCTTCCCGTCTACGTGATACACCTACCTCTCGATCATCAGAGATCAACTGCAGCCTTCTGTATTTACAGCGAGTAAATACCGGACCGTTACATTTACTTATTAAAAACCTTTTATTTCTAAAAGAAGTTTTACTAGTATTAATCTATAGATAGAAATATAAGAGGTAATCAGAGTAAATAAGTAATTCTAATTAAAAGATAGACCTCCTTTAAATACTAACTAAGAAGTATTTAAGAGGTAATATATATTCTGACCCTTAGATGCTTTTTATAGTATATACTTTTAAACACTTTTAAACTAAACCTTTGATTTTAATATATATTAATATACACTTATTATTCATTTACTAGTATAATACTAATAAGTAAAGTTTACTTTGTTTAGTAATAAGCACTTTCAAGCTACATATCGAAAAAGGATATACTATTTTAGTGGCTCAGTTTATTCGGACTATCACTAGGTTCTCAAGGATATTATCCCTACGATTATTATGCTTTTCCTAGACGACATCGGAGTCAAAGGACTGTTTACAGACTACGATAGAGAAGAAACTTACCCTAGGATTCGACTGTTTGTTCTTGAGCATATTATTAACCTTGATAAGACGCTAGAGAGACTCGAACGCTCGAGTGTTAGAGGGCGGTGGAGGATGCTGTTGCTGAGGGGGAGGTAAGGGCTAGTGGGGTAAGCAATTATGGTGTTAAGCATGTGTGTATCCCCAGATTTCTCTTCTTTCTCCTTCAAAGCACAAATTTGATCTATCCTGTACTGATAAGAACTCTGCCGTAGCTCTAAGAACTCCTCGACTCGAAACTAAAGACTATCCTAGTAGTTAACCAGATCGAAGTCCACCCCTTCAACACTTAAACAGATATTATATCCTTCTGCTAAAACACGGTATAGTAGTTGAAGCGTATACGCTACTTGTGCGCGCTCTGTAGATGAAGAACCCTAAGGTTATACAATTAAGTAAGAAGTATAGATATACGCCTGCGCAGTTGCTAGTGGGATGGAGCTTGCAGAATAGATATATGCCGTTACCGAAGAGTATAAAGAAAGAGAGGACTGCGGCGAATAAGGAGGTGAAGGGGTTTAAAATCAATGAGGAGGGTATAAAGATTCTGGATAGTTGTGATAAGTATCTAGTGACAGATTAGGATCCTACACATTGCGATTAATGGAATGATGAATAGAAAATACCTATGAAGTAGAAGATGGACTTCTACGGATAGAAGCCCTATCTATGCTTTTCAATTCTTGACCTCTGACACCTTCATCCGTACTCAACTCTTGTAGTACAAATCTCTAATACTTCAGCAATGCTGAATTTAGATGTCGCTGTTGCTTCCCCATCGTCACGAATTGATCTGGCTCCAGAGGACTGAAATATCCTACTTTTTCAAGGGTCCATAAAGTACTGGCGGAGCTCTCTCGCTCTAACTTTTAGTGAGCAATCTCAAAGCAGAGAATTGTATCTGTAACGTTGTTAAGGATATACTTTGTCCTTTCCTGGGGCCGGACGGAAAAGTAACATGAAAGCCATCGAAATATTGAAACTCTCCGAACGCGCACTTCTATTGTCACTTCGGCGGATCTAGCCATACTTATACATTAGAGTGAAATCTTACACACTGTGGATCGAGAACGAAACGGTGGTTATCAGAAACTATTGAGGGAGGAGCTCAATGATGACAGACGAGGCTGACATATACAATTCAACCTCTCCGCCTTGTGCGACATCGCAGCCTCGTGTAATGCATTACTAAATAGGAACCCTCCTTGAGAAAGAACCGGAAGTGAGAGCAATACGAAACACCATCAACCAAAGTGCAATATACGTGTCTCCCTTGTGGAGTTTGTCACCCAGACAAAGGCTAAACCTCGCTCCGAGAAAATATCTTTCTCCGCCTCGTCTGCCAGTCCGACACCGGATCTGATAAAAAAAAAATGTGGACGTGACGCCTGACAGGCGATCCCAGTATTGCTTCTTCAAATTGCCCACGCTCGACTCCCCACTCCGCTGCAGCCTCGCTCCTCCTTACCGCGAGTGATTCACAGCTGATCCTTGAAAATATTTTCAATGGGAATTCGAGGGTGTGTGGAGAAGGCAGCGGAGGCTGGCAGGCTGGCTGGCTTGCAAAGGTGCAAAAATGTGACGTGTCACGTGTGTCCTTCAGCCTTAATGGATGGTTCAGTTACCTTACAGGGCCGCATAAGCGAGACGAGCCCCTGAATCAACAGAAGTGCACGCCTTCTACGCATACTTAGTTTTGACCATCAAAATTCTTCATCCTGCAGACTGCATATCTCCTGTAATTGGAGTATCTCAACCCCTCGCAGTTGCCGCTGTCTCCCTCCGCGGGGTCCTCAAAGTGCCATGCACCTCATAGTGGGCTTTTGAGGTGGATCAGGGACCGATGAGCTAAAGTTTTAGCAGCTCTACTGTAAGAGTCTAAGCTTCTGCACAAGCTCCAAGCGAGCCCCTGAGCCTATGGCAAGCTCGCGATAAGAATCGGTGACACCGGGGTTTTATCAACGACGCTTGCAGCAACGGATGAGAGATACAGTAAACGACCAAACTTTTCCATGTGAGCCCTCCGAGGCCCTGTTGATACAGTAACAGCTCCTTGCTGCTTCTGGCATGAAGCTTCAGGTTTAGGTTGCACTTCTGTGTGGACTCCCCACGGAGCCAGCCAGGCAAGGCGTGGTCTTGATGGGGCGTCATGGACATCAGACACACCGATCACGGCGTCTCGTCCCTCGTGTCATACCAGGAGAGAGCTTGAACGCTCTACCAGATATGCTATGCATGTATCTATCGAACACATCTAAGTCCAGTCCAGGCCCGCTGTACGTGAGTGGCTGAAAGTGCAGATTTACTCAATCTGCGTGGTTATTGATACCAGCCTGCTCTCCTGTGACTGGCTCACCGTCCTAATCTGCTGCGGGAGAGGGCCATCCATAGCTTGACCCCCAAGCCACCAGTTGTTATTTTTTCGTCCCCCTGTCTCTCCCGATATCTAGGCCCAGTCGAACTAGTGTTCTTTGAGCTATTCAAGTGGTCTATCACCTTAGTCCGCGGTTGAGCTCAAGCTCCCCTACCAGCAGATAAAAAGCATCGACTCCCCAAACTACTCTTCTCCTCAATAACATCCAAATTCTCTTACTTGAAATACAGCTCACCAAGATACCCCAATTGAATTCTAAGATACCCAAAACCTTGCAAATATGTCCAACCTTCCATCTGAGCCTGAGTTCGAGCAGGCCTACAAAGGTATGTTATTGCCCCTCTACGATGATATCACCGAGCCTTATTACCCCGCCATCGCAGCACTATCTTGAAATCAACCACAACGCAAGTAACTTGTGGTGCAAATCAGATAGTCGATTCAATTCATTCATCCGAGACTTCTCTCGACTCCAATGTATTATACAGTGCGCAATTGTCGGATATGCAATAGGGGTAGTAAAGGAGATAGGCGGACTCGCAACGGCATGTAGACACACTTTCTAACATCTTTCCACAGAGCTGGCCTCAACTCTCGAAAACAGCACACTTTTCCAACAGAAGCCCGAATACAAGACTGCCTTGAAGGTCGTCTCTATTCCAGAGCGTATCATCCAATTCCGAGTCGTCTGGGAAGATGATAAGGGAGCACTCCAGGTGAACCGCGGATACCGTGTTCAATTCAACTCTGCTTTAGGTCCATACAAGGGTGGTCTTCGCCTGCACCCAACAGTCAACTTGAGTATCCTCAAGTTCTTGGGTTTTGAGCAGATCTTCAAGAATGCTCTGACTGGACGTGAGTACCATCTCCCACGTGATAAAAAGTTTAGCCGGACTCGGAGCTGATAAATTTGTCTCACAGTGAACATCGGTGGTGGCAAGGGAGGAGCCGACTTCGATCCTAAGGGAAAGTCCGATCACGAGATCCGAAGATTCTGTGTAGCTTTCATGCGTGAGCTGAGCAAGCACATCGGCGCCGATACCGACGTACCAGCAGGAGATATTGGTGTTGGAGGACGTGAGATTGGATACTTGTTCGGCGCATATAGGGCTGAGAAGAACAAGTGGGAGGGAATCCTCACTGGAAAGGGTGGAAGCTGGGGTGGATCTCTGATCAGACCTGAGGCCACTGGTTACGGTCTCGTATACGTGAGTTTTTCTCATACAGCAGAGGCAATGAAGGAATGCTAATGATTCCTCAGTACGTTGGACACATGATCGCCTATGCTGGACAAGGCTCTTTTAAAGGCAAGACCGTTGCCATCTCCGGTTCCGGAAACGTCGCTCAATTCGCAGCACTAAAGGCTATTGAGCTTGGTGCCACCGTCGTCTCTCTCTCCGATTCCAAGGGTGCTCTTGTCGCCGCTGAGGGTGAATCATTTGCTCCAGAAGATATTTCTAAGATCGCCGAGCTGAAGCTCAAGCGTCAATCGCTTACCGAGTTCAGCAGCAGCAAATACAAGTACATTGACGGTGCCCGACCATGGACCCACGTCAAGGTTGACGTTGCACTTCCTTGTGCTACCCAGAACGAGGTTTCTAAAGAGGAGGCTGAGGCTTTGGTCGCCAGCGGAGCTCGCTTTATTGCTGAAGGATCCAACATGGGATGCACACAAGAAGCCATCGATGTCTTCGAGGCTGAGCGAAAGTCCAAGGGAGACAAGGCTATCTGGTACGCACCAGGCAAGGCCGCCAACGCAGGTGGTGTCGCCGTCTCCGGACTCGAGATGGCTCAGAACTCTGCCAGAATCAGCTGGACCAGCGAGGAGGTTGACGAGAAGCTCAGGGGCATCATGGAGGCTGCCTTCAAGAACGGTTTGGAGACAGCGAAGAAGTACGTTGAAGCTAAGGATGGCGAGTTCCCATCGCTGGTCGCTGGAAGCAACATTGCTGGTTTCGTTAAGGTGGCCCAAGCGATGTTTGACCAGGGTGATTGGTGGTAGGTAGATGCTGTGCCTCTTCTAGACTTGATGTTTCTGTATATAGTAGACGGGTTGGGTCGGATTGGGATGGGATAGCCTTGCTTCTTATTTTGATGATCATTTATGAATAAACAAATGAATAAACCTGCTGAACACATTACCTGGTGGTGCAAAATCAACAGGACAATTGGACTTCAAAATCGAGGCCACAGTAATCAAATAATCCTGACCGAGGTAGTCGGCAACATAATTTATCGTCCAAAACACAGGTACATGGTTCGAGCTTGGAGGTTCTCACTCCACAATCAAGCAAGAACATCATCAATACCAGCGATATCACGCAGAGACATAAAGGTACAGTGAGTGGCCTATGTGTTCTAGGTTGACACGGGAATAATTGATACTCTTGAATTTTCCGGCAGGAGGAGCGGGGCGGGAAAACTTCGAGCGAGCTAGCGTCGCTAAACCCACGCGGTTTGCTTTATAACAAAACAACTTATATCAAGCTGACCATTAGAAGCAGAAGCTGAGCGTGTGGCTATCAACTCTGGCATGGCCTCTATATTTTCCTGGAAAACTTAAAAGAAAGACCAAACCGGCCTAGCCTTAGCGGAATGCGTGACCTTTGCTGCGGGAAGAGATCTTCCGCGCGGAATCTGCACCTAACAACAACATTCCCAAAATCCTGAGCGCGACGACGTGGGAAGGTGAACTGCCCGACGCGGAAACAATATACCTGTCGCAGCTGATCTCGAGAGTCCCGAGGAAGACAAGAAGGCGACAAAGTGGTACGCGCTGGTGAGGAGGACTCAGATCAGGTGAGTCCTTGTCGCGAAGGAGGTTTCGCTCCGACCCCCGCCCCGCGCCGCTGTTTGTTCCTGTGACATTCAAGGCCTCGAGCTGACCATTGATAGATACAACCACAGTATCAATTCCGGTATGGCTTTCGCTGAAGCGTCCGGCATAGAGAGCTCTTCAAACTCGAATGCAGAAATGTCCGGTAGTGGACATAAGCGCAAGCGGACTCCGATTGATGAGGGAAGACAGTCCGCTCCTCCTCCCGCCCCCCATTCCGGCGGCGTAACTCAGATCAACTACTTGATGAGGGCGAAGGCGGAGAGGCTTAAGCTTATTGAGGGGGATAGCGAAACTTTCAGTGATATCTTGGGTATGATTGATGATTATGAAGGTTAGTTTTATTGTGTGGGTTTCCGGGTCTGGGTCTGGCGATGTGCTGTGACTTTTATTGTCTTCGGAATAATTCTCTTGATATTTGAAGGTCCGATATGTAGCTTGAGCTCGTTTGTGGTACTTGGATAAATTAGTCCGAGTGATTTGAAGTTCTGAACTGACTATTTGATATGTAGGTGTTCTTCAACGTCACGAATCACTTGCCGCAAATCTTGGAGCGAAATTGGTTGGACCTCTGCTCCTGAAGTCCTTCGAGGTAAGCCAAATATTCTCACCTCTTATCCTTTAATTGAAGTTTGGTTTCTGGAGCTATTAAATTCGCGGAAACACAATGTCAATTCCCTAATATCCATTTCTATGCACGTATCGAGTTAGGCGGACCAAGGCCTGGAAATAATCTTTTTGAAAGGTCCTGGCCTCGGGTGCTCGGTTGATGCCCTTCTATATCACTACAGGTATATCGCGAAACTGCTAGGACTAAAAAACTAATGTTCAAATCAGAAACTGTTTGATGGCCCTATCAGAACTATCACAGCATCGTTTGCTCTAGAACAATCGCCAGTGTCATGGCTCGATGTTGTCACATTTGCGCGAACAAACCCATTGGATTTCGGACTTTCTGATAGCGGTTCAGGTGCGAAGGCTTGCCGATTTTGGATCAAAGGAGGCCAAGTTGAGATCTCTGAGGATGACTATCGACTAGTCATGTCTGGTGGTCCTGAGAGAATGATTCCAACTCAAGCACTTCCAGAAGATGAGACAGCCGAACTCGAAACACTTAATATCTTGGAAAATAGACTTGTAATGCTCATCAAGAGAGCGGATGCTGTTGCCAGCAAGGCAAGACAACTCAACTACCACCTCAAAGGTCGTAAAACCGCAGTTCTGAGCAAGAAAGTAACCGAACAAACTGGTAACCTAGATCCGGAGAACAGGAATTTTACGCCTCAGCCTTTCTCACATACTAGTTCACGATCAAACGGCGAGAGCTTGAAGATCCAACAACATCTCCTCGACCAATTCACAGCAGCCCGGAGACAGTCCATACCACACGGCCGGCCTAAAACAAGCAGTCGTATACCTACAATTGAAACCCCCGGCTTTCACACCTTTAACGGACAGGATCCAGATTACCGACGACTATCCCATCCTCTGACAGTATCAGAAGACGGCAACGAGGGCCAGTACCGCGTCCTCATAGCCTCTAAAATCGAAAAGCTCAGCCGTGGCGACCCCATCTACCCACCATGTGATAGATGCCGGCGTCTAAAATTCGACTGTACGAAACACCTCACGGCCTGTCAAGCATGCACGAAGAAGCACGCTAAGTGCTCCTGGAAAGACATTAAAGACGGCGAACTCGAGTACATGCCTCACCTCCCAATAGTCTCCCAGCATCAAGATCCGGAAAGCAGGCAGGCTAGTGCACCGTATGAAGAGAATCTAGACCCAGGCCTGAGGACAGGAGCAGCTGCGGCTACGGGGCCGGGAGTAGGGATAGGAGGCCATCCTATGATAGCGCAGAGCTCGGATCAAGGGAGTGAGCATGCGGTTTTGACGCAGATTGCTACTGCGGCGGCAGGTCGATGAACTTCTTCTGCTTCGCAAGCCCGGCACAGAGCGAAGACAAAGGAGAAGAAGAAAGAATTCATAGTCAGATTCTTGTTTAGAGTTAATAGAGCACAGACAGAGAAGAGAAACAAGCAAAGAGAAAGCACAGAACTTAATATGGAATTTTTGAGATCGTGGCGTATAGAATATCAATGCTACCTCTGTACAAGCAGTCGTATTTGTATACACAACCAGTTAGCATCAAGCTCTGTCTGTAACTTCTCTCTTCAACAATTTTCTTGTCCCCGTACCCGCTGTCAAAACGAAAATTCCTACCTAGTATAGAACGGGGGTCGAGGCTGGGCCTGGACCCCACGTCCAATAGAAATCCTTACCCTTGCCGCGACAAAAACAAAGGAAAAGAAACATATCAAGCCAACGATTCAAAGATATACCCACTTTGAACGCCCTGTCGCTGTGTCCAAATTTTGGTAGCACATCCCTATCCCTAATAATCCAGACCGATTTCGGTTTTGATTTCGCTTCCCAATCTGTTGGAATTTCAGCACAGACGGACGGATCTCGGAATCGGAATCAAGAAATCCAGATCCGCCACACCTGCCGCGACAAGTGGCATGATATTAATACTCTTGTTGTGCTTCTTTACAGATCTAGACTCTTTCAGAGGTACTATAGTTTACTATGCATAGAAATTTCTGGTATCTTGTAGTAAACTCAAGACTCTCTCTCTTGTCTTGCGTATATATATAGAAGTTGTTAGTATCGTACCAGTAAACAAATAACAAGTGTATATCGATATACGTTAAAAAATCAAAGGTTCAATTCAAAGGTGTTCAAAAGTGTGTATTGTAAAGAGTGTCTAAGGGTCAGAATATATACCACCTCTCGAACAGCCCCCGGCTAGCCTCCGAAGGGGGTCCATCCCCTAACTTGGGTTACCTGTTCCCCCTAATTGCCCCCTATATTTCCATGGTATAGGTCTGCGGACCAACAATTACGTATATCAATATACACTTGTTATCTGTTTACCGGTACGATACCAATAGTACGGCGGGCCACGACCCGAACACCCACATAACAAGAGAAGTAGCAATTCAAGGCACAAGGAGTACTTTGATACAAAGAAGCAGATCAAGCAAATCTTGAGATATCACATATCTGAAGTACGGGATTTATCAAATAAGGGGCGGAGAAGAGAATGGATTAGATAGAATTTCTCTAAAGAGCGTAGTTATCGTGATAATCCTAAGTGGTGTGGTAGTGATAATATTGGAAAGGAGTGACAGTTCGAATCTCGAAGTACCTACCACCACCCAGCTGCACTGGTAACGTGACCTCCACCCCACTACGCCAAGCACCAAAATCAGGTGGCCCTGACACAATAGTAGTGGCAAAATATAAGAGAGTAGCCCAAAATAAATTTCTTTCTAAATTGTAACGCCAACAGATCTTATGAAAGTGTCCTCTAAGCCAGCAACTCTGTTTCTATTTACGCAACTAGCTAATCGCTCTCATCGTCATCTCCACCACAGCAAACGTACCGGCACTAACGGGCATAGCTCTCAAGAGAGTCGGTCCAATCCCCTTCCAGAAACCCCTTAACCCCTCTGCTCTAAATGTCTGCTTGAAGCAATCATTCATACCCTTGAACTTTTGCTTTTCTCCAAACCCGTCACTCTGCATCTTGCTCTTGACAACATCAAACGGATAGCTGGATAACCATAAGGCCTCACCTGCTAATCCTCCGTAAAAGGCAATCTTGTAGCTAGGGATCTCTTTACGGTCGATCTTGTTGCGCAGAGCATCTGCGTTCATCATGTATTCGAAAGCAAGAAACCACACGCCGTAAGCTTGAGCTTCTCTGAGCACAGTTACGGCCTCGCCACGGTAGAGGCCCTTCAGGACACCTTCATAGGCAGATAGTTTGCGCACGCAATCCAAGGGACCGTTATATAGCCTCGCTGCCCCGTGTGGCTGGGTCTGCAACCTGATTCTGACATGCTCGATAGGGCCAGAGATTACCGAGTTCGCTACACCTGCGAAAGCACCAGCAAGATAGTACTGACCGTAGGAGAGGCCTGGGGAGAGTGGATTCTTGCTAGTGTTGTAGGCTTCAATGCGGCGGCGGGCTTCATGGAAGGCTCCGAATTGGACCGAGACACAGGCTCCGATACCAATGAGGGGAGTAAGGGTGCCTTTGTAGAAGGCAAGCGCCCCTTCTTGAGCGTAGATCGTTTTGGCGGCAACGAGAGCATTGGGATATTGGGTTGTTGTTTGGAGTCGGACCTTGACTATGTCGAAAGGTTGTCCTGAGAGGGCGTAAGAAACAAATTTTCGTAGCACACGAGAATGGAGCAATAGTAAGGAAATGAGACAAGGAGAAAGATGATACTCTCTTGATATCTATCTTTTAATAGTGAAGGTACTATCGCTCGGAAAGCTTAACAAAACAGGACAATATCACAGTCTCAGGCTGTTGGCCACCCGTGATACTAGATATAAACAGGAATTGAAGACGAACAGTTGGCCGAATGCTTAGATGACAAATGTAGGAATAGTCAACTCACCTAGAAGTACCTGAGCAATCCCACCTGCTGCTCCAGCAAAGAGATCCTTCAATGTTCTCACCATTCCTCCCTCCTCTATCTCAGCAGCTGCGTCTGCCATCTTGAACTACCCCTCCTCTTGAACTTGAAACCTCCCACTCTCAACAGCTTCTAGATCGAGCAAGGCTTGACTCTGAGTTGAGTGATTACGGAGTAAAACGCTTGTTAATGTTTGAAAGAAACGGGCCTTTGGTACCTATGTAAACAAAAGGGATCCAGAAATTGTGTCTGGTTTGGGGCGTTTGCGGTGTCGGCGTCGGCGTCGGCGTCGGCGTCGCCCGTGGATGATGTGCTCGTTCGCTTAAGCGTGCCAAGGACAAGCTCGAGTCTCGAGTCTCGAGTCTTGGTAGGTAAATTTACGCAGTCAGGCAGTAAATTACAGTACGAGAGTACGAAAGCACTGCACTGTACTGTGTCGTTGTCTCACCGCCTGGAGTTGATTACCTAAGGTAAGGTAAATAGCGTCCTGTCATGAACATCATTCTTTCTTATCTGTTTAGAATGGTTTGAGACATTCAATCGCGGTGCGGATCTTTCCTTCTTCTTGTTCTTCTCTTCTTCTTCTTCTCTCAACTACTACTCACTTCACTTTCAGAGCACTTAACTCAAATAAAGATCCGACATCTCAATACTGCAGTACGAGAGTACCCATACTATCATCGTGATCTCTAATTCACATTGGCAGTATACCTTGGCGCCTCAGGCCGAGACGGTGATTCGCTGCAGATCCTGGACATTCCAAGAGCGCTTCTCTCACGTGCATCGGGCTCCCCGACTAATTGTTGATCATGCTTCTATTTTGGAGCATTTGGCCCCTCCAGCTGATGAGCTCAGCCTTCTATTTTGTACTTATTTACCATCCCTCCTACACACCTTCTGACATCTTAGGATTCCTGCCGCCTATTCATCCGAAACTCTTCTACAAGTGTTAGAATCAAATCTTTATCCGATTTCACTAGAATTCATCAAGCATACGACAAATCTCATCGACATGGTTATTCTTGGTGGACTTGAGCTGGTAGCAGTAGGCTACATCATACATAAGCACAATCAGAACAAGAAGGAGAAGCAGCGTATAGAAGAAGAGGCTGCCGCGCTTGAGGAACAACAATACCGTATATTTCCATCAGATGGACGGGGCCGTCATTCACAATCGCATCACCGACGAAGACGGTCGCATAGTCGCAGGAGACATTCAGCAGATGGGAAATACAGGAAAGAGAGTCCCAGACCACCGATGCCAGTAGCAAGGCCGCCACAATACAGCAGCGCGCCTACGCCGATTCAAAAGCCTCTTCAAATGCCAAATAACCATCCGCAGCTTTTGCACCGACCAAATGCTCCCCCACAACCTCAGCAGAGACCGCAGCCTCAATTTCAAGCACAACCTCAGCCTCAAGCGCAATACCCACCAGATATAAAGTATGGATGGACAGATGAGCCTACTAGGCGGCCGTCACAACAAGATCCACGTTTCCCACCGACAGGCTGGCCAGCGCATTGGGAACAGTCCAGGACAGAAAACACACCGAGGTATCACAATTGACGATCTCTTATTAGCTGAACAGCCAAGTCAGCAGGGCACTTGATTCAGACGTAGAATTAGTATAAAATATTCCTTATTTCCATGTTCCTGCATTTTAAATCGTTACCTTCTTTCAACTACGTGCAATATGGCTTCTTCAAGCTCATTGCCGGTCCCTAGCCCCCCTGTAGTCTAAATATCGATATTAACGCTCCAAGCTCTCCTACTCCTGTAACAACACGTCTTTGACCTCGTCGTCGCCGTCAACTAGCTAGTTGTTGAACCTCCAAAAACACCGTCTTCAAAGCGTCAGCGAAAGCGTACTTATCATAGGGGTTATGAACCTCCTTCACTCCACCACGAAATGCTACCCTATATCGTAGCCCTCTTGTACCTACGGCATCATCTCCATATGTTTTCAACGAGGATTTCCATTGGAATGGAGACATTAACAAAGAGATGGCAACCTTTGGTGCTAAGACTAATCGACAGAAAAAGTACTTACGGAAGGCACATGAAGTGATATTATCGAGTTGTGAGGTGGGGGATGGTTTTAAACTACTAGACATCCTGGAACGCCTTTTAGTAGCTCGCCTTCCCTCAGACGTCTCAATTGACGATCCTCCTAGTCTTTTCCGTATGTTTTTCAGTGAGGAACAGTTCTAGAGCTTCGCAGATTATACTAATAAGTATACTCGATAGTAAAGGACACAGAACCCAGATACTAAACGCTCTGCCTTCAAGCCTGTCAGCGTACACGAAATCAAGGTATATATAGCCCTCCTTATCTTTATTAGGTGCCAGGGTAATGGCAGACTAAAGGACCACTGGGAGAAGCCAACTCTCACCTCTCCGATCCACCATATGTAGTTCGGGAGGTACTAGGACGTTAAGAAGTTCTTCAAAATCTCTGATATTAACGAAGCAAGCAATAAGATGTAACTGGCTCCCCTGTTTCCTTTGGCTCCTTGATTCTGCGATTATCAACGCCTTCTTGCTTTGGAGATGGGAGCTAAAATCAAGGGTTATTGGTCGATAATTCGAGTACCAACGGTCTCACCGGCACTTTAGAGACTACCTCATTAAAGAACTCGTCGGCGCAGTTTTATTACGGTATACGGCTTCTCAACATGTTATATAAGGCCAGTCTACTCGATTGAGGTGTTATTATTATCGATTTAAGTTCTCTAAAGGTCATATGAAAAAGGAGGAGATTCGACAGAGCTGTGGGGAGTGTTCCTTGCCTCTTTGTAAAGGATGCTTTGAAGCATACCATTCCCACCGATTTTAGAGTAGTTTTAGTGTTTTTTAACATTTACAGTAGTTACTTTTGGAAATTTATATCAGATACGAGTTGCTTCCATTTCTTAAGCTTTAGGCAGCAGATTTTGCGTCATTCGTAAGGTAAACCTCATTTATTTCTTCTGATTTGCTCCACAGTTGCAGTACTAGTTATCTTAGCTACTCCACTCCAGCGTGCACGTTTAAAAAGTACCTTTTCGATATGGAAGGGATATAGGTATTCAAATCATGTCATTAGCCCGTCCTCGTGTTCGCAATGTCCAAAACCAGGATGTCAGCAGCTCCAACTTCCGTCAAGTCGTCCATAACTGTTGCGATTCTCTTTTTCTCCACCATCGAACTAACAGCAACCCATCCTTCTTCCTCTAAGGCGTTAATGGTTGGCGCTCTTCTTCCAGGTGTAATCTTCGTTGCGACAACCAAGTTTACTCGTTGAACATTGTATTGACAGAGAACGTATTTTTGTGCGGCTGCCTTAGTTAGTAACAATAAATGTAGCACAATGCCATGACTCACTGATAACACCCCGGATTCTCGAAGCAATCAGATCAACTAGCTGTGGGTTTGATAGGTTCTTTGACTTGACCAAAATAGCCGTACTTGACACAACTGTATCAATCGCCTTGAGACCTGCAGCTTTCATGGTCTCTCCGGATTCTACTAACTGTAAGTATGTTGAAAACTCTAACAACGCACTTCACTTACCAACAAGATCAACAATACCATCAGCTACACCTAGAGCACATGCAGCTTCGACACTTCCACTAAGTTCAATAATCTTGGTCTTTAACTTGCGCCTTGAGTGTTTGCTATTCGTCTCTTCAGCGGATGCGGCTGCTTCGGTCTCCAAAGCGGCAAAATAATCTTCGGCCAAGTGGACGAAACTTGTACCAATATTCTTTCCAATCAAGTCAGATGGCTTTACGTATTGACCCTTCTCAGGCACCTGGACTTGCAATTTGCAAGAGCCAAATCCTAAGTCCATCACTTCCTCGCAACCCATTTGTCCATCATCTTCGACTGGTGTTGATTTGCCAGATTCGGCTCGTTCCCTCCTCGATGACTCGACTAATGCGGCATGTTCTGCAACTGTGTCACGTCCGGTAATACCAAGACTTACTCGACCTTCTCCAACAAAAGTGGGAATATCGGCGGCTGGGAGGAAGACAAGGGCGATTGGCAAGTTCTTGACGAGGGCGATGTCGAGTCGTGATTCTCTTCTAAACTGAATGTCTGCGCCTTCAAGTAGATTGAGTGCAGCCTGCAGAAGTCGGCCCTCTGAAGGGTAATCAGCTTCGAGACTCTATAGGGAGACCTTTTAATGTTGACTCACTCTTTGGCACTGCAAACAGTAATCGGCCTTCTAGGCTTGAGGGATTGTCAGCAAAGGACTCATAAAGCTCACCATCGTGAAAGAAAGGCATTTTTGATATCTTACTGATTGACAAGATCCATTGCGACGTAAAGTTGGGGAAGACTGGTTTTCTATACAAGAACAAAGGCGGGCGTCCGATGGCGGGGTACCTTATTCACTCACGTCGGGAGAGCCTGCTCTCACTGCGCACTGTTTATGCCGGGCGAAAACACTAAGGCCAATAGCGTCGTATCACAGGTTGATATTAACGGCGAATGCAGGTCGGGTTGAGAGAGAACGTAGGGTTTGCAATAAAGTGAAGTGGTGTAACTAAAGTGTTGTGTTGTGTTGTGTTGTGTTGTGTTGTGTTGTCTCTGCACATCAATGGAACTTTTGTAGATGCCGAAATGCCCCACGTTGGCGATGACTGGCTCCTGTCTCCTGGATTCCTGGTGAACGTGAAAGGCGGCTGGCGGCTGGCGGCTCGCGGCAGGCAGGGAAAACAGGGTATGAAACGTATTCGTACCTTACCTAGGTAAGCGAAAAGATGTGGGGCAACGTCAAAAGGCGAGGGGCAGCGGTTCAGTCTGAGTGGTGAGTGTACCTCCGTACCTACCTAGCTACCTACCTAGCTGCCTAGGTACCTAAAAAGTATCTAAGGTACCTTACCTTAGGTAAGGTAAGTGTTGGTAGAATAGCTGTCACGCTATGAGTCACGTGATTGTGTACGGGCTACAACTTACTTCCTGTGACTCGAACGTCTGAGGATTTTCTAGCTACTTATACAAGTCTAAAATAGGTATCAACATTAGAGAGTATTAGATATCGTAGAGGACCTGTCTTTATTTAAAACTTGACCGCTAACTTCCAGCCAACGCAACAAGCACGACTCCAAATGAAACATCCGACAGAAACAAGATAACACACTGTAGTCCAAATAACCACACCATAGTAGTGCCCACCAGCCACTTGAACCAAACTTCCAGCAATCGGAATGCCAGTAAGTGTACCAAACGAAACCACTGTATAACAAGTAGCATAGTATCTTCCGTATTCATTAGTATCGCAAAGCTGACCCACACAAACTGGTGCAAGTGACACATTAGACCCAGACGCAAAGCCAAAGATGAGAGCAAATAAAATAGAGAGAGCTTTAATTACGGCTGCGTCTGAAGAGGACCCTGCCACAAGGAGAGATGCTGGTAGCCATAGGACTAGAGTCATCGCTGCGCAGAGAGCAAGTGCGGCAATCATGCTGTTGAACCGACCCCTAGGGAACGAGGGAGTTAGCAATTGCTTTAGAGGAACGTTTTAGAAAGCGAACAGAATATATTTACAAAAGATCTTAAGACATTCGGACAAGGAAAAGATAGGTTTCCTAATACTTACAGTTTATCAGAGACTAGACCAGGTGCCCATCTGCCAATACATGAGCCCGCATTCATGATAGCGATAATCTGGTACGAGAACTCTTTGGACATAGCACCAGTCGATATAGCGAAGGAGGTAAGGTAGGTGATAGGTACGAAGAGCGCCCACTCCATGAAGAAGATTCCTAAGGCAACCGACACATACGATTGCTGACGAAACATACTCAAACTAGGAGCCATCTTCTGGTTTGGCTTAGGAGGTAGCCGCGAGCGGACGAGCAAAAGCGTCATAGCGCAGCAAAAAGCAACAACAAAGCCGATGATCCTAGTAGCCCAGGCGAATCCAACCATAGGAAATAGCTCTTGCAAAGCCAATGGAAAAATGATACCGCCTAGCGAACCTCCAGCTGCAGCAATACCAGTTGCTGTTCCACGTTTTTCATTGAAGAAGTGTCCTACTGCCGAGAGAGCAGGGGTGAATATTAAAGACGCGCCGATGCCACCAAGGACTCCAAAACAAAGCATAAAATGCCAGAATTCAGTACAAGAGCCAAGTAGTAGCATACTGGTGACTATGCATATACTTCCGATGAGGATAAGGACCTTAGGCCCGCGAGCGTCGAATATTGGTCCTACTTGAACACCACCAAAGAATCCGAGGAAGATGAAGACACTAAAGATCCATCCTATAGTTCCTTCATCGTATGCTTTGAGTTGGTGCTCTTGCAAGTAGGAGTGGAAAGTCCCGACAGTGTTCCTTGCAGTTTGTTAGTCGTAATATTCAATATCACGAAATCTTAGGGTCCACTCACATCATGCCCAGGGTCACGGCACAACCAAAGCAAGATCCCACCACGACAAGCCAAGCGCGGAGACCACCTTCTGGATAAGAAGACTTTATGTTGTCATTTGGCGACGTTAGGAATTTCTTTTCCGCCGATTCTTCTTTGTTACGATCCACATTTGTTAGGACGTGAAACATTTCGTCAGCAGATAACGCCTGCTTATCCTGGACTAAAGCATGGTCATGCTTAACTGGTACAGTTGGGTCTGTTGATAAGAAGATTCTTGCTGAGCTTGAGGATCTTTTGGCTGCTTGTATCACAGGGCTTGCATCTTGTTGGACAAAGGACGTCCCATCTGTGGTCTGGGTTGGAATGTTGTTGACAAAGACATCTTGCCCCGTACACGGCAGAGGCGCGGAAGTTTCAACCGTGGACGTAGTTGGCATCATTCTTCGTAATCAATGTAATATACTACACAGAGCAGACCTTACACGGCTCAAGACTTGTATCTTAGACGTTGTTGGAGTGTTGAATCGTAGAGATGTAGAAGGGGTAGATGTTTTCGGAGGTGTACAGGTAAGCGAGATGAAAGTTGACTATTAAGTTAAAAACAGAATAGAATTCTCTCAAAAATTTGCGTGAAAGCTTTCTTTTCCAAATAGGAGTGAAATATTAAGAGTTAATGGAAGAAAACCATGGGGGATGATATAAGTTTTGATTTTCAAAATTTCCGCCTGAGCTATCCCTCTCGGGGACATGTAGGGGGATCTCTTCCTCTCGGGGACATTGCAACTTTTGATTATTACTGTACGTCACAATACGTAACAACCACTCAAGCGACGCGGCTGAGGTGTTGTGAAGAAACTTTGCACCTTAATCTCAATGAATTATAGAGGGAAAAAACAAGAGCCCTTAGAGTCCTAGCTAGGAAGAGTCAGAATCCTTCCTTATATTAAGCGTTTTTTCCGGAGAACGGGGACGCTGTCACGTGGAGGCCCGTGCGCATACCTCTTTACGGCTATACCTTTACCTACCTACCTTTATAGCTTTATAGCTCTCTTTACACACACACTTGCAAAATGACGCCTACAGACCTCCCTACAAATCGTCTACGCTGTTCTAGCTGTAAATCCTTCCGCGAGATTGCTGATTATCCCCTCCGAGGCGACGGCTATCGATTGTTAATATGCCGCGTGTGCTAGACCCGGAAACGCGAGCAGTACTATAAGTAGGCTAAGGGCGAGTTTATCTAAGGGAGGCACGATCAGCGAGTGCTCTAGAGGCAAGAGAAAGGGATTTACACACCGGAGGAGCGCGCGAAGTTAGAGGCGATATATAAAGAGCAAGAGGAAGAAGGCCGGCGCTAATAAGAGCTCTCTAACAACAAATATCAGTGGAATCAAGAGGAGAGGCAATAGGAAATCGAACAGGACCGCGTGTGGCTTAATATTGATATCTTTACAGATAAAATATCCTTTGATTCTAAACCGTAACACGTACAATTGGAAATACCCTTGGAAATACCCCCGGGAAGGTTTGATAGCTGGCAAACCGCTGGAGAGCTCTGGGAATCGCAACAACCTGTCCGCGAGCCTACCTGTGAGTCTACCTGCGAGCCTACCCTTGAATCTACCTCTCTTGCCGAAGCTTCTACGGTCTCTACTGAGTATTAAACCTTTCCAGACGACGATACGGACTATTATTACTTAAGTTACGCGCAGATTTAACCTCCCTCTGCTTTCGGACGCTTCTTTACCTGTAATATATGCCGGAAACATAAGGCTCCCTCAAATCAAACTCGCAACACACGCCGGAGGGTTCAAACAAAAGAGTTAAGAGCTACACGACAGCTGCAAGAGATAAAGCTTTAAGAGCTTCTACAGAGGTGGTCTGATATCGCTAGAGAACAGGAGTTACGTCAAAGGTATTAAATAGCTCGATACAACTCTATTTGATTCCCGGCAGGGGTCTTATGGAGGCTGTTAGAGGTAGTTGATTATATAGGTAATAGAAGTTATACTTAGCAAAGGCACGCTTACAGGTCAAATCGGTGCAAGCTTGTGAGCGGCGATTCGACTTAAATCAACATTAAAAGAGCATTCATTTACAGTAGGTCCCCCTTAGAAATGCGATGATTCACTTATGTATTTAACTGTAAGAACGTAAGGCACAGGGGCACAGTTGACAGGCTCATAATAGCATTAAAAAGAACATACCTTTACAGTAGGTTTCCCTTAGAAATGCAATGATTTAGCTATGAACTAGACCGTGGCAAAGCGAGGTTCCCTGGCCCTGTAACTTGCAGAGGGCCGCCGGGGAGAAGACCTCGTATAGCATACATCTCTTCCGGAGTATACTGATATATTCGACTCCAGAATCAGTGAGCCCAAAGATGACAGTATCATATGTCTCTGTATTCCGCATCATAGCCTTCATTGCCGAGAAGTCTAGCTTGTTCAGAGATTCCCATGCTTTCATCGAGGACTTTGTAGCCATCAAAGAAGAGATGCGCTCGAAGCTAGGTATCAAGAGTCCTCCATCTGGCGGACTTAGGGATTTCTTCGACTATAAGATTGAGTCTGATTTCTAGTACAGAGATTGTAAGTGCATGCGTGAAACTCGAGCATCAGCAGAAACTGATATCCATAGTTAGCAAGGCTCGCAGAAGTCACCAACTGAATGAGGATGTTGGTCCATTTCCTGGTATCCATATTCGAAACCCTCGTCTGCGAAACAAAAGTTCTCTGACTGTAATAAAGCTAGAACAACCTCGAAATCACCCTACCACCTACTCAGCCAATTGCCTCCAACCGAACGTCTTTCGCGCTTTCCTTGGAGAGTATAGATGATATGTCAGACACCTGGCAAAGAAATTCGATGCAAACGTATACTTCGGCGTAGAGCAGAGTACCGAGGGAGGATACTGGATATAGGTAGAGGCTCGACATGGAATCGAGATCACGCCAGCGGTGCAGAATCAGTTGGAGGCAACGCATAAGTTGCTGCTAGCGCACTCGGAAGTGAAGTGAGATATGGTACCGCATCTGGCGGATTTCCTGGTCGATTATACGCGCGAACAGCGAGCAATTCGGTCGGAGATAGATGAGAACCAAGCGATAGGCGAAGATAATCCAGTGGATACTCAGTAGAGTGGCGCTGTCTCAACGCCTAAGACTGAGGTGTAAGCGGTCTACTCTTTAAAGCGTGCAATGGTTGTCTCAGACGATAAAGAACAGGAAGATATCAGACGCCGTCGAAAGTCTCCACGTCCGCAACCACCAGCCTCAGCCCTGTACAAAGGGTGTGCGAAATTATATAGTGCCTTTCACGGAGGTTTCCAGCGAGACCTGAATAAACGAGGAAGAAAGAATGGCCCAACTCTAATGACAGGAGAGAAGAAGAATGACAAGCTGAAGCGGGGGTAAGGGGGGTTTTTGTTAAGGAAAGGGGTTGAACGAGAAGTATTCACACTTTGTAAAACTCTGTTGGTTTAGTCATGTCCACAACACAAGGCAGATCTCTCCCAGAAGACTGAACAATGGTTCTGAAGTCACGTAGCTCTATCAGAATTTTCCAGTCTCGTTCATACAAGTTTTAAATCAGAAGGTGACCTTTGTTGGAGAACTGCGTGTTAGGTAAGGATCGTCTGTTCGTGTCAGGTTTTGCAGATAGAATACGCAAATGGAATGAACAAATTGTACATCAAGAAAATTCCTTGGGGAACATAAGCATGTTTCTGCCTAACATGTTTCTCTTTGAGTTTGAAAGTGCTCTAGTGGGAAGAACATGTCCTTTGAGCTCCTTGATAGTGTCTGATAGTTGGATGCTGGTGAGCGGTGGATGGAAAGAGCGTGACGCTGTCCACTGAAGACGGGAAGCCTACCTAATAATGGAAGGTAAAGCCAGGTGGCCAATAATAATACAGCTGGTGCAGTAGACATCTGATTAGGCATCACGCCCCACCAACGCCGAAAGCTCCCTCAATGCCGACCTCTTCCTCACACCTCCGGACTACGATCCGGATATCAACAAGATCAAAGTTGCCGGCGGATGTTCTATCGTGGAATGGGAATTGGCAGGCTGGATAAACCAAACATATGATGTGAGGGGCTGGTTCCAATAGTACTGCCGGTTCTTCATGGGAAGGCGATGTGACGACGATGATAGACAGGTCTCGAGGTGGAAGAAATGCGTTGGAGCTACCGGGAGGTGGAGGAGAATGTTGTTGAAGAAGTATGTCAGTGCTGGTGTGAGAGAGGTGTTTGAACATGGGGCAGAAGAGGAACAAGAAGAGGTCAGCCCGGTGATGCATCAGACTTGTCATCATTAGGCGTTCTGCGTTACTCAAGAAGTATTGGACGAGTATTGGAAAACAGGGAAGTGAATAGGGTGGACTTGCACTGGGAAACGACTCAATGTTGGAGTTCCACGATCTCGATGGGACTGAAGCTGCTTGTTAAGCAATCGAGAAATAGGTCAGAAGTGAAGACATCCTTCTCGGTGCTGATAGCTGGCTGACAGTCGACTAGCGAAAAACTGGGGCTTTCTGTGTGAGAAGCCATACGTTTCTCAAAAGGCAGATTCTAAGGGTTGATGATGGATTTTTCTTAGGTCCGAGAGGTGGCAGAAGCCTCTCGTTGTGACTCAAATCGGCTCTAGCGGATACCGTGGCGACTTCACTGAAATTTCTTTGTCAAATGCCGAGTGCTTTCGATAAGGGTGATCTACAATTCCGTTGTTGGCCAGGTGCTTTTGGAATCGATGCTACTTCTGGGTATTTACTAAGCGACTTTCTGGAAAGGATTTCGATCCTCTTCAATGTACTATTGAAAGGTATAGAGCATGTTGAATTCGTTACTGTTCTATAGACGGGAAAGCTCTAGCTAATATAGTACTGGAGAGTGCACGGTTGTAATCTCAACATATTGCTCCCTTCTCAGATCTGTAGTCCTTCGAATCAAGAGCAACAATTGGCGTTCTTAGTACTCCTGCGGCTTCTAGAACCTTGTTCCCTAGTACTAGTTCCTCCGGGTTCTCCTTGTGGAAATTTCAGATAGCTTTCATACATGGACGGATTTCATCAAGATTGAAGTTTTTTCTCACCCTTCACCTATTGTCTTCACGATTCGGTGTTGTACGTAGGCGTCAGGAAATTCTCATTCGGGATCAGTTGCCGGTTGTTCTACGTCAACCCATTTGCCGCACTCGTTCTGCTCTAGTGTCTCGCTGATTTGGTCGTCGTCTTCACTAAGCCCGTCCTGTACCTCATCGTCTTCTTGTTCGGCATTACCGGTCTAGTTTGTTCCGGCCAGTCTCCAAATTGGAAAATATTTGCTCATTTCCCCCTTCTCACGTCTTGTCAGACGTTTTTCTCCTTCGATTTCCGATCGTGTCCGATCGTGGTGTTTTCCCAGTACTGAAACGTGGAAGACATTGTTGTGTACCTTTGAGAACCGCGATGCTGTAGGTCTACCGAGTTCAAGCTTGCAGTTCACAGGCCCTATCTTTTCTATGATTGTCCAAGGTCCTGTCTCCCTCGGGTCTAGCTTGACTCTTCTTCTTGTTGAAACCCACGATGTCGAGGTTCTGTTTTGTTGTCTTCAGCATGACTTTGTCTCCGACTTCGAATGATATATCAATGTGGCGTCGGTCGAATTGGGTCTTTATTTGATCCTTCAACTCTTCCAGGTTTTTTTTGAGTGTATCCAAAAGCTTTCTCATCTTCAGACGAGTTCACTACTCCGTAAACACCTTCTCGGACGCTGCTACAAAAGTCTACCCTAAAGGCGAGAAGTATTTCGAGGATAGGTATGCCGCAGCAGATTCGGCTCTATCAATGCCCTATTAAAATGCCTCAGTAACCTGATGCGTGACATACGCCTCCACGTACTAGGAAATAAACGCCATCGTGAATTGTCGTGAAGTCGTAAAGTCCCTGACTATTATTTGTCTTTAGAAAAGAGTCCAAGAAGAGACACGAATTCCCTCATCTGTCGTAATTTCTATTCTGGGAGATAGAAATGGGAAGTAGCTCAAAATTGGCCAATGTACTTCCGAGAATCCCAGACGTAGACTCGCTCGTCCCAAGCAGTAGTAGCAACCCAACCCTCAGCACCAAACATACACCAGTCAACACCAGTAACGAACTCAGTATGATTGTTCATCTGACCAAGCTGGCGATACTGACCTTGACTGCCTATATCGTTGACGCCGATTGCAGTTCCGTCGGTCCAGATTCTCGCAGTCATGTCATACGAGCCAGAAAGGAGAACGTCAGAGAAGTGAGGAGACCAGGCCAGCTTGCGGACAGCATAAGCGTGTCCTTGGAGGGTAGCTATTGCACTAGCAGCAGGGTTGCGGAGATCAAAGGTACGGATTATCTGATCCACACCAGCTGTAGCGATGATTGAACCACGGTACTTGTTCCAGTCGTGGGTAAGGCATTCGGAGGGTAGAGCTCGAGGAGGTTGTGTAATACCGCTAGAGCGAAGAGAGGGAGGAGATCCGTGGATAGGGATTAATGAGACCAAGTGGTTAGAGGCAGAAGAAGGTGTGCGGATATCAAAGACGCGGAGGTGTGAGTCTGAGGAGACAGAGGTGATAACAGATGGCGAGAATGGCGAGAAAGCACAACTGTAAGTGCAGCTGTGAGTTGGAAGAGTAAGGATCGACTCGGCACGAGTAGGAGACCACTGTATCAACAAAAGTCAGTTCAACTCTAAGAGACCGCGGCGTAGCAGGGTACTTGCCAGCTTAATAGTACCATCCCAAGAGCTCGAGACAAAGTTGTCCTTTGAAACCAGGTTCCAGCTAACAGCATAGACCTCGCGCTTATGCTCATTGTAGTTGACGAGTGGGAGAGAACTAGGTGTATTGCCGTCATACATACGAACAACTCCATCGCCGCATGCAACAACGAAGTGGTTCTCGTGGGCCTCCGACCAGGTAATACCGTAGCAAGCGTCGTTTGTATCGAATCTGTAGAAGGGTTAGCTTTGCCTTTGTTTGTCGAAGCGGCTGGATCGACTCACTGGTTGAGACAGGT